TTAGAAAAGAGGCAGCCACAGTTTGCTTTCACTGAGGAGGATCTCAGATTACCTTTATAGTCTTATAACAGGTATATTTGAATTCACCAGCCTATGTCATAGCCTGGTGAAAAGACACTTGGATTTGGTCCAGATAGTCAGTGTAATTATATGTTACATTAATGGTACCACGTTAATATAAAAAACTAGAAAATAGACTAGAGATGATTTGAAAACAGTAGGTTGTCCACATGACCAACTGAAATTAGTTGCTAAATCCAGCAAAAATCTAAGGCCTCATGCAAACAGTAAAATTCTTGGGAATAACCTGGGGAAAAGCCACCTGTGACATGCCACAGACAACCGAGAGTAAGTTGCTGTTGCTATCTATTCCTAAGACTAAACGGGGGCCTAAGGTTTGATTGGTCCATTTGGATTTTAGGGGACTCATATCTCACATCTTGAAATATTGTTAGCTCCCATCCATAATTTTCTTTTACTTGAAAGAAAATTGTATTTGAATGCATGTCTGAGCAACAGCAGGCTTTGGATGAAATAAAAAAAAACCTATCTTACTCTCCTTTCCTTTAGGCTTTAATGATCCACATTCAGACCTGATTCTTGAGGTATCTGCAACCTGTGTTTATGTAGGTTGGCGCTTCTTGCAAAAATTTGAGAAAACTGCCCTGTGGTGGCAATTTACATTCTGGACAAGGAAATGGCCCGATGCTGCTGCATAATACATGTCACTTGCAAGACAAGGACTCACTTGCTATTGGGCATTGATTGAGACTACTTCAATGACAAAAGGATATAAGATTATTATGCGACCTGAAATATCTACCTTTTTTTGGCTAGTGTCAGGGAAACACTCTAATAAAGAAGGGGATGCTCAGAATAGTTCTGTGATAAATGGAAACAGATTATACTGAAACAAGCTATTGGTGAGATTCAGGGAGGTAACCATCACATCCATGAACAAATAGCCTCCTTTCCTACTGGTCCTACCCTGGAACCCTGGAGATACTGGCAGAGCCCATTGCTACATGGACAATGCTGTATGAACAACTTCCTGTTGATAAGCAGAGAGCTGCTTGTTTCACAAGATGGGAGTTCTGGGGTACATGGAATATGTCTGTTGTGGAAGGTTGCCACATTGAGACCAGCAGATGGGAAGACCCTGACTGAGAAAGGCAAGACTAGATCAGCACAATGGGTTGAACTGCAGGCTGTCTCATAGCTGTAACTGAGGAACTGGGCAATGGTGAGAATTCATGTTTGGAATTTGACTGATTTGTGGGCAGTGGCTAATGGCTTAACCATACGGTCAGGTAAAGGGGCAATGGTAAAGGGACACCAGCACTGACCTATTGAAAGTTCTCTAAGAATTTAGGGGATGCATGACAGTTGGCCATGATAATGCCCTGCACAAGAACCCCCTTCTTGGATCAGAAGGTGATTGGAAACAGTAGATAGACATTGGTGTGTACTCTTGAGGTGGCCAATTTGAAACATGAAATAAATGGATATGGGGCTGCTGCAGCAATGTAGAGATCAACTGAAACTAGATACATTCATCTTCCTCCCTCTGAGGTACAAAATGCCGGTAAAGATTGCTCTGCCTGCCAGCAAGTAAGACAGAGGTTGCAGATGGTTTTGGGACAGATTCCCAGAGTGGTAGGCTCTGTGTACAGTTGGCAAGTTGATTACTCACTGGCTAACAAATGGGTCCTTACAGAAATAGATACTTTCTCTAGATTGGACTTCACATATCCTAGAAAAGATGTAAATATAAAAAATACTATTGAGGTATTGGAACAAAAGAGATTGTACTAATTTGGGCCACCAAATTCTGTTTCCTCAACCCAGGGAACATACTTTATAGTCCAAAGAGTGCAGCAATGGGCCAAGAAATATTATATTAAATGAACATTCCATATCACCTACCACCCTCAGAGTAATGGTCTAATAAAGAATTGAAATGGGCAATTGAATAAGGGCGTGAAAGGAATACTAACAAATCTTCATGAGTGTGTGCTCACATTCAACATGAAGAGGGCTAGTGGGAGTTCACTACTGGACAGATTCATGTTTCTCAGGGATATCTGAAGAAGAGGGAGTAGAGGAAGATGCTGGCGCTACTATACAATTCTTGCCCAGATCACTTGAAATTGTTTTCTTCTTACCAGATGCTGCAGTCCCAGTTCAGGGAGTTTTCAGCTGAGTGTTTTTTGAGTAAACAACTATAACAATATCCTTAAACCTGTATGCAAGACTTCCCATTGGTCTAATGGGATGTTTTATACCTTCACCTCAACTTGCAAAACTAGGGTTAAGGGTGAATATTCCTGTCTCACTTAGTGGTCAAGAAAGCTCATTGGTGTTGTACCTGTGTAACTCTTCCCAACATGAACGGGAATGGACGAGAATAGTAGAACTTACCAGACTAATCTTGTTACCTGCAATTTAGACTGGCACAGTAGCTAATCCTTATGTTCTATCTCAATGTGGAAAAGTTTGGGTAAAAATAAATGACAAACAGGAGGAAGAAGAAATAATGGCTGAAGGTAAAGGAATGAATATATGAGTCATGCAGCAAGGGAAATCTAACATGTTGCTATCTTGAGAGAGACTCAGTGTAATGGGTTAACTTTTCTTGAGCCAAATGTCAGAAACCAGAAGACACTTAAAACGGTTTAAGATAAAACATGTTAAAGTTTATATGTTTATTTGCATGTAGTTGATGAATATTTAAGTTTTTAAAATGTTTCTTCCTATGTAGTAATGTTAAGATATAAAAATTATGCACACCCATGATTATTGCAGCTTTGTTCACAATAGCAAGGAGTTGGAAACAACCTAACTGCCCATCAACAAATGAATGGATAGAGAAGCTGTGGTATATTTGCACAATGGAATACTACGCTGCATTGAAAAACAAGGAACTCATGCAATATTATTCAAAATGGTTGACTCTGGAGAACATTATGCTGAGT